ACTATTTGTGCAGTAGCCATAGTATACATGAGAGCATGCATATGTGTGCGTGTAAACCTTGGGCATCCTTCAATGAGCAAAACCTGTTAATGAAATTAATGTGAAGCAGTAGGAAGAGCTACATGTAGTCTTGGTCAACTCACATGGATAATGTCATCTTATAAAAAGGAACAATTTGTAAATCACGTGGTTATATTTTTAAAAAATGAAGAAGTTAATTGTCTGAATTACAGTTAATTACTGAAAAGATGCTAGCCTTTTCCTTTTGGAAACAGTGGTTAACATAGAGGAGAGAAATTTTGGTACATTTACAAACATATAAATGTATACATTTATATATATATATATATGGTGTATGGAATGAAATAAATACGTTACTAATACAAATATAAATATAAATAAGAGTATAAATAGATATCAAAAAGTCAGGTTTGGTGGGGTTGACAGTTGACTGCACAAATTGCACAGGGTTAGCCTACTGTGGAGCACTTGAAACAGTAACAACTGTTCAGAAGCGTGTTACTAGGAGAAAACTTTTGGTTTTTTCCATAGCAACAAGTACATTAATAAGACAGTTGTTTCTGCCTCTGTCTTTTTTTTTTTTTTTCTTTCTTCTATCCACACATACTCCTCAGCCTATATTTTATTTCTGATTGCTTTCATAAAGCCTTATGAAGCCAATGGTGGTAATCCCAGGTAAAAGAGGCAGTGGCTGGGTCATGACTTCTGTACTGAAAAATATTTTATAATACACCTGGGACTTCATACTATACAGATAAAGCTAAGTTTCTTAGTTATTTCAAATATTTAAATAACCTGCACAGAACACAATTTTAAAAGGATAATTTAATGCATGCAACAGAATACAGGACTGTAACATCCTAGCTGAGGAGCTAAGCAAGAAAGTACCTAATCAGAGACATGCCCAAATCCTTCCAAAGTCCTTGGGCAAGCTCAATAAATTAGATGTCCTCTAAGAATGCCTCAGTCAGATTACATTGCAGTCCAGTAAATAGGTGGAAATTAAAACAGGATTAAAAATGCACAGTAAAGTGATCCTAATATAAACTGAAGTCCTTTGAATCATCATTTCTGGGACCAGAAGGGAAATCTTATCTCCTTTCACTAGCCAAAGGTATTTTCTCTTTGGCATCAGGCTCTGATTTCTGGTCATACGGAGATAGCATACAAATCTGGCACTGTCTACTCGGCTAATGTTGACCACCAGAGTTCACTATCTTATGCTGTCTATATGCATGGGTGTTGTTCTACATAGCAGAGCATGCAATTCAGTTACATTTTGCATTCTGTGTATTGAACTAGGTGTCTTTGGTAACATTTTTTAATAATATATTTAGAGATTTTCCTTCTGCAGTCCTTTTAAAATAGAAACAATTTATCACTGCAGATGAATATTTTTCTCAAAAATATTTCTTGTATTTATGGGATATATTGGATAAAGTTTTACAATACATTTATCTTTTTATTGAGAAATGACTTGAGAATGAGGATGTGTTGAGAATGGGTAAGCCAGTAACAATTCATGTACACTGACCATTGCATGCAGAATTCAAGCAGGTGGATGAAACATCTGAACTTCAATGGAATAAATAGGGAATTCCATTTTGAATATAAACAAGGTATGCATATAAATTTGGAAACTCTGATATCAGCACCTGTCACTGTCCTGATAACCTGTCACATATCTTTTTGGCAGGGTATCATGCAATACACTAAGAAAGGGAAATACAGTGGAATTTCCCACCTTTCTATACCTAGAATGGCTTTCTTTCCAAAGCACACTGAAATTTGTTGCTGGGCATAACGCACATGAACCTGTCAGTGTGGGGCTGCAAGCAGGGCTGGAGAGAAAGAACTGTCGAAGTGGGAACCGAGCAGAGGACTTGGAGGGAGTCACATCTCTGGCAGGACAGTGGCCAGTGAAGAAGGCCATGCCAGAGCAGTGAAGGAAGAAACAAGGAGCCACCAAAGAAGAGGAACCGCATCATGCTGACCCCAATCTCCTGGACTGCTCACGGCAGGCATAGCATGTGTGCGGCAAGAGGATTGGATATGGGAACGGGGAGGAGCAGTGTCTGGAGAAGGGTCCAAGTGTAGTTCCCTAGGTGGTTTTTTGTTTGCCCATTCCTATTTTTCAGTTGCAGAATCAATAATTAAAAGTTTGTTAGTTGGACAATTAAGTAAAATTCCCTGGCATGAAACTTATTTTATAGCTAGCAACGGACTTTACAAAACAGTGTTTGTGGCTATTCTCAAAATATTTGGTACAGTTCTTAAAATTAGATTTGCTGAAGTCAGATGAGTCAGCCTTCTCCAATGAGGTGACTGGTTTGGCGGGTGAGGGCTGAGCAGTGGATGTAATTTACCTCTATTTTAGTAAGGCTTTTGACACTGTCTCCCATGGCATCCTCAGACAAAGTATGGGTTGGGTTAGGTAAGTAGGCAGTGAGGTGGATTGAAAACTGGCTGAGCAGACAGGCTCAGAGGATTGTTATCAGCAACACGAAGTCCAGCTGCAGGCAATTCACTAGTGGTGTATCCCATGAGCTAACAGTGGGTTCAGTCCTGTTCAAGGTCTTCATTAATGACCTGGTCAGTGAAACCGAGCACACCCTCAGTAAATTCACAGATGATACAAAACTGGGAAGCAGGGATGATACACCACATTAAACATGCTTATTATTAAATCCTACAAAATATTTGTTTTTGAAGCAAGGTACTACTTTTGAATGTGCACCATTATTCATAATTGCTTCTTTACCTGAATTCTGAGACCTTCTCCTACCTCTGCTGCCACAGCTTTCACCAAACTTGACCTTCTGTTTGAGTGCATTGTGAACATTTCTTAAGAAATTAATTAATATAGAACCACCCCTAAAAAATTACCTGGACCTGAGTAAATCCATGTTACATCCTTCTTTTAGTGACATTACATCTTAGAAAGGAATGAAAAGAATGCTTTAATTATCCTACTTCTTCTGAATTTAGTACATCAAAAGTTTTTTGATTACTTAACTCAATAAGGAAGAATACATAGGTTTGTTTTATTATTATCCTCCTGACCTCCTTCTTACATTGCCTGATGATTATCTACATGCAGGGAAAGATAGGTAGCTTGAAGACTTTGTGCTTTTTTATTGTATGCAGGTCAACTAGGTATGAAAATGTGTTACTTCCTTGATTCTACCATCCCCAGAAAACTCTCATGGGTCAGTGAGTAGAATGTAAAATAAACAAAAATAATGTTTCCTAGTAGTGAAACAAGTGCAATAAATAGTTGTTAAAGCATCCTGCAAATATATTATGATCTTCAAATCCATCTTTTATTTGATTTTTGATCACCTTTTTAATTTTGTCTGGCAGAACAGTCAAATAAAAGTTTATTTTCATAGCACTATAATGAATATAAGATTTTATAACTTATAAGTCTCTTTCCATTACTTTTCATTAAGCATGAGTCAACTTCTCTCATCTAATCTCATTTAGAAATTTAAAAGATATGCATCTAATCTAAACCTGCTGTCTAGGTTCCCCTTACAGTCAGTGCAGCAAGACATGCACTAAAAGAAAGAAGTATACCTTGTAGCAGGATAGGTTATTTTGCTGTATAGGATATGGTGTAGTAGGATATCTGAGGTGTTTGAGATAGCTGAGGTGAGTCATTCTTTGATGCCTGTCTGTGCCCTCCTCACTACAATGGGAATCCAGGAAATCACCTCAGAGTAGCAGTCCAGCTTCAACACGTTAAGTTTGATGACATGAAGCCTACATGAACTTGCTAGTTTTTCGTGTCATTTCACTCTGAGCCAAGAGCTGAGCCCATTACAAGTTTTTACTTGATACAGTACTTATAGAGTAAGCTCCTGACAGAACCAGTCATACCTTCTATTCATAATTCCTTATAACATTTGACCTCTGCTGCCATGGTTTTAAGAAAGGCAGTCCTTGGTACCCCTCATTTTTATTAGCTAAATTTTTTATCATACAAGCTGGTAAGAAAAATGATTAAATTTCCCAGAGGTCACTCTTATTTCATAATTCCTTGCAGTTAAAAGCCATAGAGAGAACACTTGAAATGAATTAAAGTTATGGCCTCTTAAAGAAGATACATGACATTTCACTGTAATGTAAACTTTTATGTCCACTAGACATTTATAATATTTTCAAGGATAAGTACTTATTTAAAAAAAAAATGCCCTTCATAGTGCAAATTCTTACACTAACAATGTTTGATATAGAAAATACAAGTTTGCCTATTGTGCTGGTGGTTTATTTTCAAGCCTTTTGTGAATCTATTCCCACCCCCCCTCACCTCTCCTAATGGCTCCTTTTAGTTGTCTGTACTTTATATTGAATTTTGAATGAAACTTATAGAAATGTCAGGTTGGCTCCTTTCGGGACTGCAGTTGAAATAATCAAGCTCACTTTCATTGTCTCCAGTTGGTGACAAATGGCAATTTTATTTAGCAAGGGATGGTTCTCTTTGAGATTGGATTGATGGACGAGGCCATAAGAGGTTGGGCTGGCTGACAAGGTTACCCCTACCAGCTGTCTTTCCATCCCTGCTGCATGAGTGTCTGTACTGCTTGTCAGTCAGCTTTTGAACTACTGCTGTTTACTGTGTAATGTTTTAAGGCAGACTGTAGTTGGTGACAGCTTACTTTACTTTAAAATGCTGTGCTGCAAATGGTGATGCATCCAAAATTCACTGATGAGCAGTTCAGACATCTGTGCAGTAAAGGCAGACTGGACAGCTAGGGTGGCAACAGTGTCAGCCAGCCCTTTTTGACATTCAATACTCCTTTATTTTGTCTTTGCTTTTTTGTGTATTTTGGTTTGGTTTGTTTCAGGTTATAATCAGCCTGCTGTCTAAGAAATCCAGCTCTGAAATGTTTTTGAATGTAAATGTATAAGAACCCCAGTAGTGTTTTGAGGTTTCACTACAAAAATCCTAAAATGTTTTTAATTCTTGTCTGTAGGCTGGAGCAAATGTGCTGCTGCAAGATGTTAATGGAAACATTGCACTTGATTATGCCATAGAAGGGACTGAATCTAGCAGCATCCTTCTGATGTACTTGGAAGAAAATGGTAAGTCAGCTCTTCAGCTTCTGGAACGTTCTTATTGAATATGACATAAAACTAAAAAGGATGCATATTGATTTGACATAAGTCAGCACTGAAGCCAGTGGAACTATATTAGTTTGGAGATGACAGAAGGAAGATGATTTGGAGTCACAAAAGCTTTCAGGGAGTTTAGATTGGAACAATTAACAAAGGTTAGTGGCAGTGGTCATAGACAGATCTGCATTTGCCCATTCATAGGGAGATGATAGAATGTGAATTCAAAGCAGAAAAACTGCAGTAATGCAGAAACTTTTAAAACAACTAATTTAACTGTGAGGACCAGGTTTCTCATATTTTTCCTTTCACATGTGAATTATGTATAGCCTCAGAGTCCACCTTTTCCAGTGGCAAGCTGTTAAGTAAATAAATATCTGTAAATCATCTGAATGAAAATGTATATGAAACTTTATCATTTATACAAAAATATTAGTATTGGATTTGTTTTGTATTGAGAAAATACTGTAGCTAGATTTCTATTATGAAGTATGCTTAATATATTATAGATGGCAAGACCTGTACTGAAAAAAAGAGTTTGCTATTCACCAGTTCCAAACTTAGATAAGGGTTCTGAAGTGAGATTTCTAGCATTGCTCTGACTGTAATAGGTTGCCTTAACATTCTATGTGCCTCATCATATCAATGAAGACAATGTATTAAGCAGAAAGAATGAGCAGTAATGAAAAAATGTAATTTTAACATTGCCTTCATATAACAATTCTGTTTTAATGTAAACTGAAGTTATATCCTGTTAACACTTAAAAGAAGTAAACTTAGACTGGCACAGAAATTACACTCAGTGTCAGGTCTTATACTGGTAGTCCATAGCACATCCAGTGTATTGCACAGACATATTTTATAATTTTGCTTCCTTAGTGCCTGGCAATGTCTTTACAACTCATGAACATTGGTTTTGGATTTTTCTAATGGCAAGACCAGCATTAGCTTCTAAAAACTTGAATGCCTTGTAAAATACAGATATTTGAAATCTAAATGCTCCAAATACTTTGGCTGATGTGGTATTTAACATGTAGCTTAAAACAAGCATGGAGCATACAACAATATGTAGTCTGATTACTTGCAATTATTAATGAAGATCTATCAGAAAATGCTTCCTCTTTCCTTGGCTGTCTCTCTTTTTGTTTGCTTGCAAAATGAAATAGATTTGGAAAAATAAAATAAAAAGATTTGGTCGTTTCTTGGAAAAGTGTCTACATTGAAGGAATGGTGGATTTTTATGAGTAATGTTATCCGTGTTAACCTCTTTTCCAGTAGATAGGAGAAGCACCGTTTCTCATTTTTAAACAATGATTCTGTGAATGTGAGATGTTTCCAAAGAAAAAAAAACCGAAATATTATGTAGGTGACATCTACCTCTAGCTAAGCCTGAGTCAATCATCCAGACCTTTCCTTTTGGTCAGTAGAGAGAAATAGGAAATGCATGTATTGTTTCAGCTCTTCCTAACCTGCCTAGGTGAGGAGAACTGACTTCCAGGACTGTTTCTTTCTGCTGACTAATAAGAACTTAAGTTGACAAGTAATAGTTTATCAGTCTTAGTTTTAGACTGTTAGAGTAGATCAGTCCTATCCCTTAATTGCAGTACTGTGTGAAATCCTGGCCTTTGGGTAATCAAAGACATAATGCCCATCAACTTTGCTTGGTCTGTTACCATTCTTGTAACAATATGCAGCTCACAGTACCCTTATTTCACACTTAGTTTTTAAAATGTAATTAGTATCTTCTGAAATACTTATATAGCATACCATGCTTAACAGTAATTGAGGAGGGAATCCTTGAAGGCAATAAAGCTGTCTGGGTAAGTATGAAATACTTTGAATTACCAAGACTTAAACATTTCTCTGTGGACTGTTTTTGTGAAGCCCCCATCATTATAATAATCCCCATACACACCTGCATATGCATACCCCAACACAGAGTAATGTCATGGCCAAAAATCTTGTACAAGAGCGTTAGCTTATTTTATAGTTAAATTCCATCTTCAGCCCATAGTGTGAAACACCCACCTAAATACAACTCACCCTTTAAATACAATGTATAAGGCACATTTCCCCATTCTCTGTACTTCCCTGCATTCTTGAAAGATTTCCTTAATATTTTCCATTCAGCTGTGCATCCTGGTTTATACCATTAGGAAGAGATTGTTGTGTGAAATAGACTATAATCATTACCTCTAATTGCAGAGTTCACAGAGAAAAATAAAATCAAGTGCCTTATGGCTCAGCTAACAGGAAAACGAGAAGCTATAAATTTATTTTTATGAAACAAAGTAAGATTGGAACAAGTAACTTTGATGCTACAGAAAACTTTGTTAATTGGGGACATTAAACTTAGAAGTCTTGTGTGTTTATAATTTCTTACAGATTTCATCACTGTGGTAGTTCACTGTATCTGTTTAACTGCACTACAGATCTTAGTGAGTGGAGTCCCTCTTAATTGTCACACATAATCTAATTTACTCTGTGGAAGGCCTGGGTAGATGATAACAATAGCCTTAGATGCATTTAATGATTTATAGATTTTACTTATTTACTGAAGTTAGTTCTTTGAGTTCTGGTCATAAATAATCTGTTAGGGCACAGGACTGTCACAAGTACAAAGTAAAGTTAATCATCTAGCAACTGCCTGAAAGCTTTCATACATACTTTATTGTTGTTATGGAATATAGCTCATCAGGACATTATATGGAGATTATATTACTGAAATATACATGAAATTCTGTATATTTTATTAAAATATTCTCTTTTTCCAGTACAGAAATCAGTTTTCTCTGATGTTACATTATGTTCTGTAATTGATGTTACATTGCATACTGTAACTAATTATTGACTGAAGAAAGCAATAAGCAGACTTTACTTACCTAAGAGAAAACAAGTTGAGGTACATATCTTCTGTATATTAAGAGCATCCTTTGTGTTGGGTAATAATTCTAGTATACTATAAGGTTCATTTAAGATATCCCTAGTCAAGAATGGAAGGGAAAATACAGCATCCAGTTTCATATTTAGGAAAGTGGTGGAAATATTTTAACTATATGATATTTGATCATGTCCTAGGAGCACTCAGAAGCCTAGTGTGCTCCTGAGCTCCAGGACTTTATTTGAGTTGATTTATCTAAATCAAGTGTCTCATAGTTACTCTATAGCAAACCCTCAGAGCAAAAGAAATACTTCAAAGGTAGGTATCTGTAATGGGTCATCTGAATTACAATGTGAACTGCATGCTTCCTTCCAAGTGCTGTGAAAGGAGCCCAGAATGGCTAGTTGAGATGTAGAAGTCTGCTGCATTGGATGGGATTCAGTTTAAGGTTGTGATATTTAAATTTACAAGTCTATATGTGGGTGCCTATACACTAGTTTTGGCCTAATATTCCTATTACCATTAGTGGAGTTCTAGGAGATACTGTCACAAGAGAGCGGAGGTTACTCATTTGACAGGCCACTAGGAAAACACTGGTAAAAACTGCTGAATTTCTTCTGTGCCAAAATATCACTGGCTTTGCATGATACTGGTCATGTTTTGCTATGAAAAGACAGACATTTAAGGATTTTGAAAAATAAGATGGAGAGACCATCTGATACAACGTCCTGCCAAGGCAAGGCCAACTTAGCGTAGCTCAGGTTACCCAGGGCCACATTGGGTTGGAGATTCTATAAACTCTCTGGGCTCCCATTCCAGTGCTGAGCCATCTTCTTGTCTTTTTTATTCTCATGATTTTCAGCTGAAATTTTCTTTGTTGCAACTTGCACTGTAGTCTCTTGTTCTTTCATTGCTTACCACCAGGAAGCAGGAAGTATCTCCCTCCAGAGGTGAAATGAAAATATTAGGAGGCATAAAAAGGAGTTGTTTGGTTTGGTGGTGGTTTTCGTGGGTTTGTTTGTTTGTTTGTTTGTTGTTTCCCCTCCCCAACTATTTGTCTTATTATGAACCTGGTTGATTACTGGAATCATTGAGAAAGTCTTCCTGGCACCTTTCGTAACATTTATTTAGATTAATATCAGCTTTATATTTTAAGGCAAAGCTTCTGTTGTGTTAGTGCCATTTTTTTAAAATATCAAACTTTAAATGTCTGATAGCATATTCTCTTTGTTTTTAGAGGCAGAATGTTCTACTGTAAAATGTATCAGTGAAACTGATTATGTCGTATGATCCTTATGTTTCCTTTTTTCCCTTTAGGCTGTCTTAAATATTTAATGCTCTGAAGAATTTTGTTGCATTCTTCAGAACAACATTCTTTTGTTGTTCCTTTCTTGGTATTTAGTTGCACAGTGGATTAGATGACTAATATATAAACTACAGATAAGTGACAGATATATCTTGGTTGACAAGTGACAGGAATTGACCAATTTGTAAATTATTTCCAAAAAAGAGGTGTTCCCTTCTGTCCGCCAGGATCTCAGGCTTCAGCGTTCAGTAGGATAACTGTGCATTCCAAGAACATCAACCTTGTTATTTAATGTGAGAAAACAGTGTCTGAGTATTTGCAACATTTGGGTTTTTTAAGAGCTGTCTAAGTATTCTACACATCTGAAAGCAAAACAATGTCTTTCTTATCTATTGTATAGTGAGAGTTTATGCACTAGCAGATTATTACAAAACCAAAAGAAAGCCATCTGTTGTGATTTTTTATTTTTTAAAGAATGACTGTATTTAAACAATATAGCTACCTTAAGATATAGATGGCTTTTCTTCTTCTGCTATGACACAGGTACAGAAAAAAAAAAAAAAAAAAAAAAAAAAATTGCTATTCCACAAAGTATTCTTTTTGGTTTTAACAATTCATTTTCTGCAGGGTAAATTAATTTAAAATAGCCAGTTGAAAGTTATTGACTTTTGATGTTAACAGATATTTCATGTACTTAATCAAAATCTTTTATAGTATTCCAAGCTGTGTGAATAATATATCTGTTTTGTTCTCTGAATTTAAGGGATCATATTCAGGTGTCTC